TGTGTGTAGTAAAGTGCGGTATGAATGTGTGTGTGTGTAGTAGAGTGTTCTATGAATATGTGTGTGTAGTTGAGTGCTGTAATAATGTGTGTGTGGAGGTAAATGAGGCACAGATTGTTGTAAAAAGCTTTGAGTATCTTGATTAGATAGAAAGGAGCTATATAAGTACAGTCCATTTACCATTTATGTTTCATAATTTATGTGAACGTTATAAGAACAGAACTGAATGTAAGTTTATGATTTGGGCTTGTTTTTGTTTGTACTGTACATAGAGATAACTTGGGAACTCGGCAAAAACAACAATTTCTTGCGGGTTCAGTAAAGTTCCATATTCTCTTATCTTAAACAACTGAACAACGAAACAAAAAAAAGGAACTTAATTGGATTTTGAAGTCTGGGCTGTGGGAAGTGAGTGGCGTGTTGCATTCAAGTTGAGTTTTCTGACTTTGAACATGACATTTCAACTTCAAACTACAAATGGAACACGTAACACACAGTTGCACATATCTGCAACAGGTAACATATTATTTGCTCTTAACCTATCCACAGAACTGTGTTTCAAAGTGGTGGAAATATCCCTTTACCCAGTAAAAGATTCCCACCTTTTATATGAAAAATATTTTTCAGGTCTTGAAATAGTCTTCTATGAGAAAAAATGTGTGTACTGTAATGCCTCAGGGGGGTTAAAGGTGGAGTCAGTCTGTGGGGGTGGAGGTTTTGTGTCAGCTGCTGTGTGAAAAATAAACCGCTTCAGTCCGTTTCGCCTGAAAGAAGACAAACTTTACAGCTCACTGCGACAGGAAACACTTATTCTGTGTAGTTTCTGTGACTACGAGCTCGGTGGATTTACCTGAAGGAGATTTGAAGCAGCAACGGTAAGATGTAAAAACCTGATTTTATCAAAGCTTAGCAGCTTGAATTCTTTCTTCACATGGTGAGTGTTGGCTTGAAGGCCCCACCAGGAGTGACAGTGTCTCAGAAAAACTCAGAAACTTTGAAGAAGTGGCTAAAAGTGAAAGTGAGTGGAGCTAGTCCAAAATGAAGCAGTTGACGGAGGAAGATCTGGGTTAGCCTCAGTGGAAAGCTTTTTGTCAGAGACCACAGAACAGCGTCTCATTTACAGGAACACTCACTGTCACTGGAGGTTGTGTTGGAGGATAGAAACCCTCCTAAAATCTGGTTAAACTTCATGTGAGCAGAGCCTCCATGTGTTCAATGAGACAACAAATGGTTCTGCATGGGGAACATAATTTTCCATGACATGAAGCAACATGGAACATTTGAACAAATCTGCAGATTAATTTAAGAGGATATCATCTATGCTTATTCAGCTTATTAATGTTTGAAAAAGATGTCAGTGACAAACTTAATTTCCTCATTCCCTCATGTGGGTTAAGCTCTGAGAAAAGTCCCGTGACTGAAGAAACTATCATAAGCTTTTTTTTTTCATTCAATTTTTATACAGGTTAGTCTCATTAAGCCTCGAGGACTCATTTACAAAAGAGACCTGTTTTTAACAAAGAATGATAACAACAGTAGACAATCATAAAAGAAGGCATATAAATTGAAAAACATAAATGTAAAAAAATGATATAAAAAATACAAAACAAAAACGGCTACAATGTAAGCACTGTAGAATACAGTAGTCCCTCACTACTTCGTGATTCGTTTTATGTGGATTTGCTCTATCCCGGTTTTTCAAAGATTGGACATGACACACAATTGGCTGATTGATGGATGAGTCGTATGATCGGCATGGAATATTTATTTAAAATAAATTATTTAGCACCTGCTGCAGAAAAAGCCTCCTCCTGCAGCTGATCAGCTGTTCTCCATGTGGAGTGGAAAAGTGGACGTGGACGTGGCCGAGAAGGCTTGAAGGCGGCACAGAGCAGCCGAGGCAGAGGGCTGAAATCATGACATTCTGTGCTCTTTTAGAGTTTAGAAACATTGTTTAAAATATTGCAAGATGTTGTAATTCTAACTAATATTGGAACTAATGTTCCAATACATATTGAACATTATTAATGATATTGTTTATCTTATTTCTTTATGTATTGTTTGTAACTATTTAGGAACTTTTTGTGTGAACCTTTTTATCTGTTGCTGCTGTTACACTGTGTGTGTGTATATGTACACCAAAGTCCCTGCTCAATAACCACGACAGAGCGAGTCCATGCAAAGTGAACCGTGAAGTAGCAAGGGACTACTGTATTTCTGAAAAAGAAACCCAGTTTTACTTTGTTTCTTTGCCAATTTTTCGACGCGGGGCTTAAAAGAGAGATGCGAATTGACCAAGATTCCCAAGTATTTGTAAGGATTGACAAACTCAATAGAAACATCATTCAAAGATAAAATCAAGGAAAGGACAGCTGGGACCGACTTCCTGTTTAAAAACAATATCCCTTTGTTTTTGTTTGTGTTTAGTACAAGTTTGCGATGGAGCAAATCTGACTGGACGATGTCAAAAGTAGATTGCAAAAGCTCGAAAACCTTAGCAACTGTTTTAGCTCAACAGTAAACAATTGTATCATGAGCACAGAAATTTAAGGATGCATCAGGGATGAGCTGACCTATATTATTATTCAATTCAATTCAGTTTATTCATATAGTGCCAAGTCACAACAGGAGTCGTCCGGTTACACTGAACAGAAACATTCATATATAAAAATAATAAGTTAAAACTATTTATCTGAGGAGCAGACTGCTTTGAATTTAACTCCATCGCAGAACTCTCAACTTGAGCAAGCATGAAGGTGATGGTGGAAAGGAAAAACTCCTTCATGAGGAAGAAATCTTTAGCAGAACCAGGCTCAGGACAAGCGGCCATCTGCTTCCACTGGCTGGGTTTGAGAGGAACAGGAAAAAATGACAGATCCACAATGGCAGGTCAAGAATCACGCTAAGACAGAAATAGTATCAAATGAAAACTATTCAATTTTAACAAATCATTTAAGGAAATTAGTTCAGTTTTTCCTCTAGTAGTCTAAGCTTAAGGCAACATAACAAGCCAACGCTAATTATAGGATTTATCAAAAAGAAAAGTCTTAAGCCCAGTCTTAAAACTGGACAATGTGTCAGCCCTACCGACAGAAACTGGAAGTTGGTTCCACAAGAGAGGAGCCTGATAACTGAAAGATCTTCTTCCCATTCTGCTTTTGGAAACTATAGGAACCACAAGTAAACTTGCAGTCTGAGAGCAAAAGTGTTGTATAAAGTACCTCCAAGTGATACTTCAGTGAAAGTACAAGTATCTTACCATAAAATTACTTTGGTAAACGTTAAAGTCTCCTTTAAAATTATGTAGCAATTATGTATGTAATTATTATGTCTCCCATCCTGAGCAAGCACAGTGGCAACAGCGGAAAGGAAAACCTCCCTTTTTAAAAGGAAGAAACCTCCAGCAGAACCAGGCTCAGGACAAGCAGCCATCTGCTTTGACCGGCTGGTTGAGAGGACAGGAAGGAGAGACAGACAAACACAGAATGGTAGGTCCAGGTATAGGTCCAGGTGTATCTGAAAGACAAAAAAACACATGTTAAAAATAGAAAAAATAATTACAATTAAAGCTGCAAGCAACATTGAAGGCCCTCGCAGCAAAGCGCCGCTCTGGCCTTACGGCGACCGCGGGAGCTCCAGCCATCGCGAACGATCACGCTCCCGTCCCGCGCCCATTCGCCGGGGTACGCATTCGCCAAACCTTTGACATCACCCGCAACCGCGAGCGCTCCAGCAACGCCTCCCAGTCGCCATCGCTAATGCTCTCGTGCCATTCCCGCATGCATCCAGCAGGGTGCGCATATGCCTAAACTTTGCAATCTCCTTCCGCCCATATCAGTATGAGAGGGGGCGCACTTGAGTCATATGTTAAACCATAATATCAGTGTGTCTAGAGTTGCTCACTGATTACGCACAAAAAATCTGGTTCCTATTGGATGATGCATCACTGAGATGTAACTGTTGGAATAATGTAGAGGGTGTACTTGAGTCAAATGTTAAAGAACAATATCAATGTGTCTATAAGTGATCACTGATCATGTACTATAAATCTGGTACATATTGGATGATAATTCACTGAGATATAATCGTTGGAATAATTTAGGGGGTGCACTGGAGTCAAAAATAAAACAACAATACCAGTGTGTGTATAATTGCTCACTAATTTTGCACCAAAAAATTTGGTCCAGATCATATGATGTAATACTGAGGTATAACTGTTGGAATAATCGAGGGGGCGCACTAGGGTCATATGTTAAACAACAATATCAATGTGTCTATAGTGCTCACTGATAACGCAAAATAAATCTGGTGCAGATCGGATGATGTATCACTGAGCTATAACTGTAGGAATAATGTAGGTGGCGCAGTGGAGGCTATTGGCCTCTTATCATGGATACCTGTTCAAGGGGTGGATAATGATTGATCATAGTGATTTTGGTTCACCTCAGCTGAAATCTGCATATTTTAGAGCCAAACGTATTGCAACAGTGTCACTTCTTGATTCGCCACACCCACATCCTCCATCAAAAACGGTTTGCACTTTAAATCAAGTCAGACCATCTTATCTGTCTTCTAACACAGGATCATCCTGATTAGGTCAATAATGTCAAAGAGGGAGCATTCCAAGTAAAAAAGAGACTTCCTGTTCCGAGGGGGTGGGGCTTTGATCACGTCAAAATTTGACAACATTGGATCGTCAGACATCCAACAGGGATGAGTCATGCCAAGTTTGGTGCATTTCGGTCTTTCAATGTGAAAGTTATATCGTTTGGAAATTTATGACGTGTAGCATAACTTTGAGGCTTGGTCACGCCCCTTTAACATCGACGAAAACGCAAGTTTTTGATAACTTTTACTCTCCAATGTGTTAAGGGCATATTAACCAAGTTTGAAAGCAATCACTCAAAATCCCTAGGACAAGTTCGTTAAAATTCGCCCTTAGAAATGCCCAATAATGACCCTTTGATCCAAAATGGCCGACTTCCTGTTCGTTTTGGACCAGGGCTCCAAGAGACTTTTTCATAGGACCTGAGACGATACAGATGTTCACCAATTTTCAGAAATATCGGTCCAAAAAGGGCTTGGGGATGAGGTTTTAAAATATTGTAGGGGGTGCTATGGAGGCTATTGGCCAATTATCATGGCTTCCTGTTCAAGGGGTGGATAATGATCAAACATACTGGTTTTGGTGCACCTCGGTTCAAATCTGTGGAATTCAGAGCCAAACATATGGCGACGGTGTTACGTCTTACTTTGCCACATCGCAACGCCCACATGCTCCACCCCAAACTGTCAGTGTTGGAAAGCAAGTTACACCAACATGTCTTAGGTCACTAGACACACTATCAGGCTGATCAGGTGACAGGGGTCAGATAAGGACCGTTCAAGGTAAAACTTTACACTTCCTGTTGTCAGGGGGCGTGGCTTAAGTGATTCATGATTTGATCATTCAGTCTTGCAGGGGACCGGATGTGGATCAATCATTGAAGGTTTGATGTCTCAGACCGTTTTCATGTAGGAGCTATTAGCGTTTCGTTTTTCATGGCTAGATGCCAAACTTTGAGGTCTGGCCCCGCCCCTTCAGCATGCACGAAAACGCACCGTTTTGATAACTTTTCATCCCCCATTCCTTTTGACCAAAATGGCCAAGTTTGAAACCAATTGAGCGAAATCCTTATGAGGAGTTCGTTCAAATGCGGAGGTTGTAAACTGCCAAAATGGTGTGAAAATTGGGCCTGCATTCCAAAATGGCCGCCTTCCTGTTTATCGTACAACTTTTGTGCCAGAGGGTTTTCTGTGCATCTTGGGGAATTGGACAAGCGTACCAAATTTCATATTTCTACGACAAACTAAGGTTAATGCAGAGGGTATTTTG